GATTTATGTTTCAGCTGTTTCATTTTCATCACAGTTTTCTCACTGTGATATTCTACAGCTTGTTACTTAATTCCCAATGGAAAATATTAAGTTAAGTTTGTCTCCTTATTTTCCACTGTGGGCAACCTGCCAGCTGCACAGTAAATTAATTAGATGGGCAGTGTGCCGACACTTTGCATACAGTGGTGATGCAAGCCCTTGATTTTAAATTGGGAAAGTTGTGTACAGATCAAGTTCATGATTGCCCTGAATTCTTCAGAATAAACATGTAGTTAATTTAAATGTCCATGCTTTGCTTTAGGCACAGTTAAAACATGGTTTCTATTACTATGCAAACCACAGAACCAACAAATAAAACAGCAAGTGTTCCTTTATTCAATTTAAGTGAACTAAAAGCAAACAAAATGATGTGATAAACTTTTTCAGATTATGAAAGGCATTTTATGAATAGTTATTCAAAGTACTTATCTCCTTGTGGCTAACTCCAAAGCTTGGTAGGAAAACATTTAGCATTTGATAAGGACTTTAGCCACTTTAGCCACTTAAGCTGCCTCAATAACCACAGCGATTTATGCTAATACAGTTAAATCTTCTTGAGGAGCCTTTAAACTACAAATGTATTTTTTAGAGAACAGATAGTAAAAATAGCACTTTACAGTCCTCAGCCTCTTTAAGAAAATGAATCATGAATAAATAGTGACAGAGAGCAGCATGTTCTACTTTCATATTTCAAAGAACAAAAATACCTTTGTTGCCGGGAATATTAAACCTTCAGTACATAGCTCCCCTTTATGGTTTATTGTTTGTCTTCCCCAAACTCTTATTCTCTTGCTGAAACTGTTGTTTTTTTTGCCTTTGGCCTGCTACCATAACCTCTAATCAAGTGTATCTCCTGACTTTGTCTTTAATATTATACCATACAGTATATCACCTACACTGTTAAAACACCAGATACCCTTTAAACAAGATATCATTCCTGTTATAGCTGTTGTGATGTTAGTTGTTTTAATACAGTGTTTTCCCAGTTCATAAGCAGCCCTTAATCATTAATTTCTGGGGAACATTTTAAGTTTTGCTAATTAATATACAGTAAAGTGGAGTCGTTTAAAGATCCTTACTTTCAAATTAGATATTCCTACAGTATATTAAATGATTCAAGATCAATAACTGAGACAGTATGAAAATACCATCCTGAATGCAAAGCTAACAATACAAATACTATCCGCTTCTGTAATATGTAATGCAACAAGTATGACCTCATTGATTTTATTAGTTATAGGGGCTGCAATGTTCCAGTGATATAACATTAAATGTGCTTTCACATACAAAAGTAGTTGTTAAAAATATGACCTTGTTTCCTTTGTAAGTAAAGCAGTTAGCTTCAATGTATATATATATACAGTGTAAAATTAAAAAGGACACCATTTTCCAAGTGTTTTGTGTATTTACATGGTATTCTAATAATTGCCTAACTGATGGGTGGCTAATTTTAAAACTTGGCAGGAATCATTTAAAGAGCTGCATTTTGTCAAACTGCAGTACAATTTGTAGCAATAAAGTCATGCAAATCTCCCTCACACTCTATTTAACAGGCTTTTATTCTACATGTCATTGTTAATTGACATTAATTGCTAATTGATAGTAATTGTTTGCTTTTAAAATCACTGAGGCATCCACTGAGTGACAGTGTACTGTGAAGGCAGGTACAGTAAGAAATTATTTTGTCTCAGCTGGACAAAAATAAAGTGTGTGGGAGTTTTCCCATTTATTTTGTTGTGAATATTTTCCACTTCATATGCACTTTGATAACTTCGTATACTTTCAAAGCAGGTGTTAATTCATCAAAGTTTCAAAAAAGGACCTTTTACCAACAGTTGTTTGAACAATGTGCATCCATTTACATTGTGACAATTCTACTGTGACATACGTGAATGAATGGCACTGTTGATGATGATACCCCTTGAAAAATTAGACTTGAAAACCCTATTGGCACGGGGGAGTTCACCACTGTCTAGGTAGTGAAATTGAGTGCGTTCTGAGCCGACAAGCCACAATGATCAAATACCAGGAGGGATAGAGCAGAGCTACACCTATTACTGTACATATGTATGTGTGCATGTACTGTATGATGCACAATATGCTTGTCTTTAAGGGACAAAAAAAGCCCAAAGTAGAATTTAGCCAGCACAAAGAGCTGAATACTGTATAATTTAGACTCCCATTTGTTTTGTGGCATCCAGGGTGCAAGAAAAAGAGATTTAACTGCCAGTTGCATTGGTTTTAGTTAGAACGCAGTTCGTCTCTTAATGAGCCTCTGTAGCCTATGGCAGTTTAGTGCTTAGTAGCAGTCTGGCATTTTCTGGGTGACCAGAATGTTAGGCCTCTGAAACGCCTTGTTCGTACTGTAAATACTGTACATAGAGTAACTTGAGTGTCATTGTACCAAATATTTGTTTAACCAAATGTGCCTGGATTATTACTCCTCTCATCAAAGCTGTGCCAGAGGACAAAGAATTCATGTGCCTCTGATTATACCAAATGCTCGGAAATCATTTACAAGTTGGGGGTTATGAACATATATTTCACTTACTGACTAAACAGCTAAGTCAAATCCTGAATTTCACCATTTTTGTAACCCGCCATTTGTAACGATATGTATTCTGCTTTGCACCCATTGTCTGCTGGGCTAGGCTTCAGCTTTCTGTTTCCCTGTATTGAATGAAACACTTATTGAACATGGATGGCTCTCCAGCAACAAGTTGGACATTCTGCAACATAAAGCTACAAATAAAAAGTGTTGAAAGTAAGAACAATGCATTTTAATATGTGACAGATAATAATTCCACCTCACTTCAACAGAAAAGAATGTTTCTACATGGGTAAAAGTATGTACAAAAATAGAAACCAGCAAACAAAAACAAAAAATGACTCTCATACTTAATAAAAGTAGTGCTTTATTGCCTGAGGTCTCTTAAAGCTTTAGGTATATTGTGAAGATGAAAAAAAGAATTTACACTGGTAATGAAAAGGTCAACTCTGCACAGGAAATGGCCTTCAGCTAAATGGGGCTGACATATTGATTTGCCATGTCTAGGATCCACAGGGTAAGATGTCATTTGAGATTTTGGCCACAGACTGGTGATGTTTTCTAGATGCTACTGTTGTCCTATAAAACTGTGGGTGCTTGTACTTTAGCTGTAAGGAACATAATATGAACATAAATTTAAAATCAACAAAACTATGACTTTTGTATGCAGTGCAGGACAACTCACAGTGAGTGATCTTATGCAAAATACCAACATAGAAATTAGAATGATATTTAACAGTCCATATTGTCTAAAACCAAATCAAGCAAACAGGAAAAATATTTTAAAACTAAGGAATATACAATAGGTGGTGCAGGTGGTGTTGCTGCCTCGCAGTACTGGGGCCCTGTTTTCAATTCTGGGCCTGGGGTGCTACCTTTAATAAGTTTGTATGTCCTTGCCAGGTTCACTTGAGTTTCCTCCAAGTGCTCTGGTTTCCTCACAAAGACCAAAAACATACTGGTAGGTTAATTGGCTACTGGGAAAATTGGCCCTGATTTGAGTGTGTGGGTGTCTGTGTCTGTCAGCCTTGTGATGGACTGATGTTCCATCCAGGGTGTACCATGTCTTGTTCCTGTTGCTTGTCTTGATAAGCTCCCACTCCCCTTCAACCCTGAATTGGTTAAAAAATAGATGGAATTGATGGACAAAGGGAGAATTCACTTTTAATATTGTACACTCTGTGTCTTTGCCTAAAAGTCTTTCACACAAGGAAGCACCACATTCTAGTATTTCACTTCCAGCTTGATTGATAGGCTGGAGCTCTCACTATTCATATTTACAGTTCCTACATGCAGATTCACAACATGCAGATGAAGTGACTGAAATGCAGATCCACCAAACTTAAGTATCAGTGTTAACCTTTAAGTCTACTACAAAATCTCTATAAAAGTGGTTGAATGTTTGGAAAAAGAGTGAATCATCCCCACTTACAGAAATGTATAAATACATTTATTGTATTTGGACAGGTTTTCATAAACTACCAGACTCTGACATATATTATATTGTTTACCGTTAACCTTTAAATTAGAGATCAATTATCATTTGCTAACCAGGGAACTGGCTTCAATAACATGGCTAGGTAGCTTGTTTCAAAATCTTACAACCCTTTGTGTAAAAAAAATGTACAATTACTGAGTTCCATAGTTCTAACTAATGAACACTAACACCTCTACTTCATGTAACCTATTATTTGTAACAGTAAAGGTTTTCTTTGTGATGTTGTAAAATCTAATTAACAGACACAGTTGTACTGTATACTGTATGTATTTATTAAGAATTATTTTAAGCGAATATTTAAAGACAAATGGTAACTATTGGAAATTAGGAATCTGCCTTGCATAGCACTTTCAGCTCTAGATTTATTCCATAATATTTCATTGACATTTTTCCATTGTTTCTTTCACAATGTATCTAAAATTGAGCACATTAGAGTTATAAAATGCACCAATACCAAATTGAAAATAATTCCTAATTTTAAAGAAAATCTATTTTTTGATATAAATCACTAATTCTTTTTACTATTGGGAAATCTTGACACAGAGAGACAGGCTATTCATGTTTGCTGATTGATAAATACAAAGCTAGTAAAATGTAGGACAAATGCAAAAAGTTTAATAATATGAACATCTGAAAAGAGAGATCAAACTTGTATTAATTTTTAACTAATCACTATTTTCAGCACATTATTATTGATAAATACAAAACCTAAATTTAAGACAAAGTAAAAGGTTCAGGCTATTGACCAAATATAATAAAAAAGGCAGATTAAAATATATATCACATGAAACACCTTTCAATGTGTTTTTTTTTCCTAATGGAAAAGAGGTAAACAAAAACGATGTAATCCCTAGATCTCTTACGTCCCCTAACCGCATCATTTTGTTTAGGTACCATTCGGGTCCAGAGCAAAGGCTGATGGGTAGTAGCAGCTAACGTTTGGCTGATACCCGACTCTCAATACAGCTGCTGCAAAAGGTGGAAAGATAGGCAGAGTGCAAAGCCAAGGTTTTCGTTTAGACTGACCAATCGATGCCCCAAATTATCTTTTTTTATGCAAGCAAAGAAGTTGTTTCTCTCTGATGCGGGAAACGTTTTCTCTGCTAAAAGAAGGGGGGAAAGCAAAACAGCAATCTTTGCTAAATAAAAAAAGGATCTGCGTAACTCTGGGCTTCTGCAGGACCGCGGAGACTGATGGGTAAGCATGCCAAGAAGCAGAATTCCTTAGAAACGAAATTGTATCAATCTAAAACCACCTATGAGGTGGTTACTGATGTTTTCTAATTTCATACGTAACTTATAGTGTACGTTACCGACGTACGCATGCTACCCATCTGTAATGTAAAACGGAAAGCTTGATTTTATTTGGAGTCATAGCACAAAGCAGGGTAAGGGAAGCAGGACAGAAGCTGTCCGCAGTCAGACCGCGATGGCTCATGGGTATGACAACCAGTCCTTACTGCATACACATTAAAAGCCTGAAAACGATTACGGTTTTGCGTTTTTTTTTTAAAGAAGCATTAACATCAAACCGATAATCCACTAAATGCGTTGATAAAATCTGTCGAAGGTACCTGCGGTGCTAACACTCTTTCACACTTTTCACAAAGAGATACAGCAGCACATCGAAGTGCCTTCTGGGTAAAGCGGAAAATAGACCGATCCTGTACTGTTGTGACCGCAGTGAAAAAAGCTAAGGGACACACATGCGGTGATCAGTCAAAACATGTAACATCTGCAAAAGTGACAAATTTGTCTTATTCTTGGGAGTCAAGGAGGTTTAGGTTAGTGACAGGATTCAAGACGGCATAGCAACCATGTCACGTGACTGCCACAGTCAGCATTTTGTGGGTGGGCAGCAGTCTAGGTCTCTTTGCTGCTGCTAGGTAATTTTAACATCCCCGTGATTTTTTTCATTCTCTTTTTTGTCCTTGTTTATCTCTGATTATATTTAAAATGTGGGTATTGCTGTATTACCTTTAATTGAAATATTAACTTGAGATCATTTGCATTTTAAAAAAAATTCTAGGTACTCATTGAAATATGCTGATGGATACATGGCTAAACCTGGTGCTGAGGTCATGGCTGTCCTTGTTTTATTCTTCTAAACTGGCCACCCAGGGACAAGACTTCACCTTAGGTCTAAACATCACTGACAGCTCTCGCAGAAGCAGTGCATCATAAACAGGTTTGGAACTATCAGATCTTTATATTGTGTTTGTGGCTGAAAACAGGGAAATAATAACTCAGCATGATAATAATGAAACACGGCCTTCTGGAGTATATGTGTTGTTTAAATGCAAAAATACAGACACATTTCTCTCACAAATTATATTGCATGCCTAAATCAATCAATTGTTTATACATTGATTTTTGTAATCTGTTATTGTTGTATTTGCTGCACACCCAGCAGTGCATAATTCTGTGCTATTGTTAAAGTTGAGATTGTTATTCATTCCCAACGGCTCTGAAAAGAGGTTACCCAAGTTCCTCTAGGTTGTATGTGTGCAAATGAGGCATGGGTATTTTCCAGTGTTGCACATCTTTCAGTGCACAATGAGTGTGCAGAGTGACCTTCATTTGTTATTTCTGGTGATGAACTCTACCTCCAGTGACACTGTAAAGTATTTTCTTGAGCTGGTTTTGAAAAAAAACTTGATAAATATCCATCTGAGCTAAACCATTAGCAAGAAGTATGCACTCTGTGCTATTTTTGTCTCAAGATGAATTGGCATCACACAGAAATTCTATTTCTCTCACTTGGGAGAAAACATGCCATTCAAGTCAAAAGGGGGAGAAAATAATTTATCTTCCACAAGTCATAAAGCTCAGCCTAGTATTCAGTACCAGTTTTTTTTGTTTGTCATAGACCTCTTGATTAATTAATGGGCAACTTTCCATCTAAAATCTGTCATTTGTGATGGCAGGAGGAATTAAAGTTGGTGCTTTTGCTGATGTTTTTTCTGTGTTTTCTTACCTCACATAGTTTAATGTGAAAACAGTAGGTATAGTTAACGGGCTCAGAGAGGTTTTACACAATGGACACTTGCCGCAGGAAAACAAATCCATCTGTCCATCAGACAGACCCTGCCATTGCACATCCTGTCTTATCTTTTTTAATAGCTAAGGACCCACAGTACATAGGACAAAAAACCCTTAAAGATTTTCCTTCGTGTAAGTTGCAGTTTTCATTCATTATACAAAACAAATATAATTTCCCAATGACACAGTATTGAGATAAAAAATCAGATAAACCTAAGTTTCTTTGTGTGTTTTTATTAGGTCTTTTAAAGACCCTTCACAACAGAAAACTGGAGTGGTCTGGGTTACTAGGGCCAAGACTGAGGTGGTGGAGGTCCTGAACCAGTGGCTAGAAGGTGCCAGGTGAGCATGTGTACTGTATATTGTACAGAATTTGTAATGCTGCATTATGCAACTATTTAAAGAATCTTTAAATAACATTGAATGTTTAAAGTTAAAGAATGTTGAATAAAATCAAATGTTAAAATAATAAGCAGTAATAATAAGTAGCAAGGACTGGTATATGTAGAACTCCAAGGTTTGTAATTTTTGTGGCCACCCTTGAACAGGTCAGTAATTTTTATAAATCCTAAACCTTTTATCAGGTTCTTAATGAAATACTGAGAAATTCAAACCAAACTGTTAAAGGAAACAGTAATGGATTTTTCACAGCCAGAGTAGGTGTTTTCAGGTCTCCAGTAATTGTGATGCTTAGTATGACAGCAGGACTCTTGCAGTCAAAATGTACTTTTAACTGTCAGTGCATTCATTTCTTAAAGAGTTATGCACGTGGTTTAGAGACCTCAGTACAAGTGGTCAACAGCAAAGGCTGACTAGATGGGTTAACTGATTATTTTAAAGTCACAATTTTTCGACTGGAAATGCATATGGGCTGTTTAAGCTTTGGGATTCTTGTCTTGTGTAGTGGAGTAGACAGAAATGTACTGGTGGTTGAAAAGTAAACCTACAGTATGTTTACATGATTGTTTCCCCACCTTGTTTGAATTTGCTTCTTTATTAATAGTCATTCTACAGTATTACTGTAGAATTACAGTATTTGTAATAGTGTTTCTGCTTTTTGATTGAAGAGCAACCGAATACATTGTGCAGATTTACATCCATTAAAATGTTGGGTAAAAAGTGTGAACCAGTTGGTATTTTTATGATTTCTCCTTAAATATTCCAATACATCTGACTAGAATGTTTGACAAATGCAAGAAATCCATTCATCCCATCATCTTCCATACCTGCTTCATCCTATGGAGCACAACGGCTTTATTTGAAACCTTTTCCAATCCCTTCCGTTCAACAACAAATACAAATACAGTACCTCTTTAATTCCTATGTTGATTGTGCTAATTATCAAAGTAATAATTTACCAGCAAAATCATGTAAATAGAGTGCTCTGGAGTGCACATAAATGACATTTAGAGACCCAAGGAAATACATTTTAAAACACAAAGTGAACTACCTCCCTCCTTGAAAGAACATAGAAAACACAAACAAAATAATTATTTGAAATAGATGTTAATAGCTTCAACTTGCAACAGCACCAGAATTAAAGATCTCATTTTTAAGTGCCATCTGAGTGATGCAATCTAGTTTAACTTAGGAAACATCTTCATTCTGGGCATATCACTATCAGGATGCAGAGAACATCATCTAACAGACTGTGTGGTGTACAAACATGTACACTATATTGTCTTCTAAAAGGCAGCTGCAAGAAGAAAAGTGTGTGACAGCTTGCTTGTTCTTCTGCTACAAAAGATGTTTTAAGGTGCTCTGTGGACTTATTGACAGTGATAGATTATAAAAGCCTGTTTTTTCTAAGCATTATTCTAATGCACATGGGATTCTTTCACAAGATTTCATGGGATTACTTACAGTAATATATAATGCTTGTGTTTTAAAGGCTAGTTTCATGCAACCGTTTCATTTTTTCTTTAAAATGAAAGTCTATGACCTGCAAATTTCTTTGTGGCATATATTGTAAGGGTTTTTCTTAATAATGGGTGTCATGAACATACTGTATGATAAATTGTCATGTGGGATTCAAAGCAGCACATTCACTGTGAGCATTGGTTGAGTTCCGTGACCCAGGCGTTGCAAGTTCTCAATCATCCAGCTTTGACCCAGATTCCCCAAGTGCACAATTGGCAGAGCACCTGCGGGCAGGGAGCTGGAATTAGTCAGCCAGGGCTCTCTCAGTTTTCCGCCAAGGGGTGTTTCTGGCGACTTTCTGGGTGCCTGCAGTGGTGACAGGGAAAGAAGCACTACGCCTCTAGCTGGCGCCAAATGTCCTGTACTGTGCTGGTAAGACGGCCAAATCTCAAAATGATGAAAGTTTTGATGATTTGGAGCGTTTGCATTTCCTCATTCTCCTTGTGCTGTACAATAGTTGTTACTATGGATGAAACACTCAAAAACAATATAAACAATTGTGAGTACACAGTAAAAACAGTAAAATTGCAGTGGGGACTTTTTTAAATACAAATTTGTTTTATGTTGTTATACAACTGTTATTTCAGTTTATAACCATATAAACCCCTACTGTTTATATGGTTAATCAACAAGATAGAGAAAATCCAGGAAAAAAAAACTTTAAATGTAAGCAGAAGTTGCATCCGCTTAGTTTTGACTAGACGTTGAAATCTAACACTAGTGTTCTTGGGGAAAATTGCAAACTTGTATCCTTATTTTTATGATCTTTTATGATGTTAATGTAAATACTGAATACATTTCTCCCTCTTATGCTCTCATTTACTAAATGGCAGTACATTTCCATTAACACAATGTGATTGGGGTTGGCTACAGTGCTTGCAAACCTTAAGAGGTTTCTCCTGTATTCAATAAGTTAATGATATACATAATGTGTGGAAAATATGTAATTTTCAGATTGCCTCCTACGCTACACTCAGTGCCGGTACATAACCAGGAGTAGCAATGAATAATAAGCTCACTACCAGCCTCCAGTAAGGACTGGAAATATTGTGACCCATTTCCAACGTTAATAGATCACTGAATGCCCTGCAAAACTCTCTGGGAAGCAAAGTAAAAATAGGGCTTCTAGTTTCCTTAATGTGTATATTGATGAATCATAAATTGAACCCTCCCAAATACAGAAGGAGTTCACCTCCCGCCATTCATTTAAAGAGCAGAAAATATGAACATGTAATGTGGAACATGTAAAATAATAACTGTAGTAGAAAAACAGGTTTTGTCTCACATAACAAAAATAAGAAAATGCACCCCTGATTACAGTTCATCGTGGAAGACATCAGTGTTAAAGTTAAATAATGCAACTTTTGGCACAATTGTTAATTCAAAGCACTATACAAATATCATGTATATAATGATTTACATGTATAAAAGCAAAAAAGAAACTGTGTGTGGGGAGGGAGATTTACTTAGTGAAACTGAGAGTAGGAATAAACTGCACAGAAAAAAAGATTTAGTGAAAAGGTCGTTTGTGAGTTAAAAAGGTCAAAAATAGAAATGAAAAGACAAAGAAGTTAAAGGAGAAATGGATTTGGGTAAGAAGTTCCAGACACATGGTACTGCATATGCAAAGGCCCATTATTTGGACCCTGGCTTTCTATAAAGTCAGAAGACCAGACTCAGCAGAAGTCAGACTATACGTAACTACACATGCAATAAGATATAAGAATACTTACATAGTACTGCATATGTTGTTAAGATAACTTCGAGCTAGACCGATTCCATCCAGTCTGTTCTGAATTTAGTTAAATCTGACCTGTTCCATTAAGTGGTTGTTTTTTAGGATGAGAGTTATACTGATGCACATGTTTTTCATTCTCTCACGGGCCACTATATTGATGCCTATTCAGTACCTTAGAAGATATCCAAGTTAGATTCAAAATCCTAATTATAAAGAAATGAAAGCATATGGGAATACTTCACTGTCAGAAGCAGTAACTTCAAACAACTCCTGTAACAGTGTGGCTCAGGAAACTGTGTTTAAAATGTGTGTATAACTAGTGTGTGCTTAGTATTCAAATATTACTATATTTTTAATATATTTGGGATCTGTATTTGTCAGAATCTATCCATAAATGAATTATTAGAAATCCTTTTGTTACCGATATGGGGTCTTTTCCAGAAATGTTCCAAGAAATGTTAGCATTTGGACTGGGACTTTATTTAATTGATTTAAATAAGTCAGTATGTGATTGTTAATAATACATATTTTTGAAGGAAGGGATCCATGCTTTGATTTTGTTTTTCTTCTCAGTGTAAAGGTGTTGAGGATGTGACCAGATTAAGATGTTTTTCTTATTTTTTCCTTGTAGCATAAGTGAAACAGATTTCTACATTAAGAGCTTATCTCTTTAAGAAATTAAAGTCAGTGCTTTTAAAGAAGAATTTTTTTAACACTGACCTTACATTACAGATTTAATCTGAGACCATTTAATCTAGAGTTTTCATTATTTTGTTTTGTCTGTTGAGGTTTGCTCTTACCTTCATAAACCAAAGCGCTTAGTTGCATTGTAAAAGCAACTAGTTTACAAAAGGTTAAAATCTGATGAAACTTAGTACTGAAAAGAAACTTTGAAGCTTGAGGATATATTGCTTAGAAGCCTTTTTAAGGGGCTGCCAATTTCATATGGAATTAATCTCTTGTGTTGAATGTTACATAAGTGGAGCAAATTTAGACAAAATTCTAAGTATTGGCTTATAAAATAGAGCCTTTTGTAGTCTTTATTTAACATTACCTATAATATTGGAGTATTTAAAATTTTAGTTTTTAATTGATTATCTAAAAGGATTTGAATAATGTGTATTGCAGCAAGGTGCTTTATGTTAAAGTAAACAGCTGCATATTTACAAGGATGCAGAAAATGAGCAATTTGGATGGGTGGCAGCTTTTATAGATGATTTGCAAAATATCTGTGGTTATTATATTTCCTTTTTATTGCACGTTCTACACTGTCTAGGTATAAACAAACATGAAAACCTTGAAGACGTTAAATGTGTGTATTTTATCATTTTACAAAGCTTGCCAAAATTAATTTATTTTATAATTTATTTCTATAAACAGAGTATGTAGTGTGTTTGTTTAGCTAAAATGGATTTGTCCTTACCAGTATTTTCTAAAGCGGTTAACAAACAGTTAAAAGGCCTCTCCTATGTGCAGACATAAAATTAGGCCTGGCCCTCTGGTCTAAGCAGTATTCGTTTTTCCACTTGGCTCCTTGTGCCTTCTCTTCTCACGTTTCTTGAGTTCCTTTGTTTTTTAGAATTTTTTTTTTTTTTTTTTGGTCTTACACCCAGCAGTAATCAGAGGCAGAGTCTTCACTGCCAGGAAAGACACCTCACCCTTCAGCACTCACGTAGACAATGGC